TTTACTATGCCTCATAACTTGATTTTACTGGAAATGTTCCCATATATATTTTATTAAAATACAAGATATACCATATATATTTACATAATTTTTTAAAAATTAAATATTTTAGATGCTATGCTATTATTTACTTTAATATATTTCATATTTTTTGAAGCTCTATTAGTAATACTACGTATATATTCTTCAAGACTATATTCTTAAAAATGCTTTATTATATTATCTAGGATTCTGCAATTCGATTTGATATTTGAATATTTGATTTGAAAATCAAATCAAATACAAATTCAAATTTATATTTGATTTGATTCGATCAAATTCAAATCAAAGAATGATTTATTAGATCAAATCCAAATTAATGTTTGATTCAATTCAATCAAATTCAAATGAAGTATTCAAATATTTGATTTGATTTAAATCAATAGTAAAGCCATTTTCAAAGCTTTAGGAGTGAGTTTTACTAAGAAAACCATAGTAAAAAGCACTTTTACAACTTTAGAAATGCCTTTTTACTTAATAAAAAATGTCTTTGTTACTTCGAAGACATTATTTTACTAAGAAAATATAATAAAAAACACCTTCGCAGCTTCAGAAACATTATTTTACTAAGAAAATATAATAAAAAATACCTTCATAGCTTCAGAGATATTATTTTACTAAGAAACATAGTAAAAAACGCCTCTGCAGCTTCAGAGATGCTATTTTACTAAGAAAATATAATAAAAAATGCCTTCGTAGTTTCAGAGATATTTTTTTACTAATAAAATTGTTACAAAGCTGAGATAGCGATTATTACTAAGTTTTCTTAGTAAAACTGAAGCTGCAATAGTGGTTATTACTAAGTTTTCTTATTAAAACCGAAGCTACAATAGCAGTTATTACTAAGTTTTCTTAGTAAAACCAAAGCCGCGATGGTAGTAATTACTATGTTTTCTTAGTAAATCGAAACCGCGTTGGCAGTTATTACTAAGTTTTCTTAGTAAAACTGAAACTGCTGAGTTATTTTATTAAGTTTAATAGTAAAAATTCACCAGTAACTAAACTTACTTTATAAAAGCTATCTTTGAAATTTTTTAGTGCAATTACTAATAATTTTCTTAATAACTTTATTTTAATATATCATTATAAAAATTAAAAAAAATTTATATTCAATTCGATTCAATTCAATTCAATCAAATATTTGATTTGATTTGATTTGATTTGACAAATATTTGATTCAATTTGATTTGATTCAATCAAATTCAAATTGATTCAAATTGATTCAATCAAATATTTGAGTTCAATTCAAATTGCTTAAATATTTGATTCGATTCAATTTTAAGGAACCCTAATATTATCTAAATACATAAAACTAATTTTAACAAGATTCTGATATGTAATGTAACAAATTATAAAATTATTAAAATATAATTGAAATGTAAAAATTTTCTATTATTAGAGCTTGCTCGTTTTGTATTTTTATCATTTCGAAAAGTTATAAACTATCCTTTAATAATCATTTCCCACATATTTTTGTCTAAATTTTCAATATATGAGAAATTGTTTATAACTAATTTTTTTATAACAATTAGAATAATATATATATTTTTTTTTTCAAAAACCTTTTTTAACTTCTAAATTTCAAATTATCATAAATTTTATCTTCAATATAATTATCAAAATTTTTTATAAATTTAATATTACTTAAATGTATTTTATTAAAATTTTCATTATACTTTTAATTTTATCAGAATCAGACAAAACTTTATTATCTGATATATTTTTTTACTTTCAGAATTTGAATTTTCAATATTATCAATAAAAAAAATATTATCCAATTCTATTAAAGCAGAAATAAATGTTATATTTCATATTTTTTAACTAATACTATTAACAAAAATAATGAAAAAATACAAAAGTTTTTATAATAAATAACAACAAAAAAAGTTAAAATTACATTCTCTTTACTAATAAATTTGAATAAAAAATCATATATTCTGAAAGGTTAGAATTAAAAATAAGAACCATAATTAATATGTTGCAATTTTTAATATTATAATATATGTTGCAATTAGTTTTGACCTATAATATGTTGCAATTAATTTTAGCTTATGTTGTAACTTGTTGTAATTTGAAATTAATTGCTGTATCATCTTTAATTAGAATGATAGACAAATAATCATTATAAAAAATCAAAATCATATGATCAAACTGAGCTTTGACTTTTGTAATGGGATTTCTATATGTCATATATAATTTATATCTTAATTTTCAGTAACAAATGAAATTACATATAATGTTAATCATTTTTTTATAAGATATTTTATATTTTTTTTTTAGTAAAATTTCATTTAATTATAACTATTAATTTATCAACTTTAAAACTCAAATCCTTTTGTTATTTTTAGTATATTTTACTAGATAAATAAGCAATTTTGCTTTTAAACTCATAACATTTCTCATAAAATATTTTTTAATACAATTAAACAATCCTAAAAGTTCCAATAAATTTGTCAGTTTTAAAGAAGATTTTTATATTACTAACATTATATTTTACTTTCTAATAGTAATTTATTAATTGAATATTTATTAAAATTATATATTAAACGTATGTAGGAATCCATAATCTTATTTTTTGAAACTTAGAATTCAATTCTAAGAATCAGGCTTTATTTTGATGGTTTCATATTAATTGTCAATTTTAAAGTTTATATTTCTTTTATAAATTATTCATAAAATTTATTATTACAATTATTTATCAAGAGTTACTTATTATAAATAAGCGATTAAACTTTTCTATAATTCATAATTTCAATATTTATTTACAGTCATTTGAGATCATTTAACATCCCTATACAAAATGTTTTTTTATTTTAATAAAAACATTTGATAGAATAGATGATTAATTGTCTTTGAATAAATTTAACTTTATATTAACAGGTTATAAGTTTAATACTTATTAAAAAAAAGATATAGAAGCATTTCAAGTAAAATCACATTACAAATCATATAATTTATTATATCTCATAACTTGATTTTGCTGAAAACGTTCCTATATGATAAAGCTTACTATTTAATTAAAAGTTTGAAAGGTTTTAATAATACTTGTATATTAAAATAATTTTTGCATTAATATATATATATTTGTTTATTTGCTTTTATATTTTTTAAATATAAGAAATAATCAATTCTAATAATATTGAACAAACTTCTTAACTTTAGAAGGTATTCCACTAATCATATCAATAAAAAAAAGTAAAAATCATGTATTATATAACATCACAATATGAAAAAAAAAAATACTTCAAAGTTAAAGTATACCAAATTCTTCTACTAATGAAATATTTCAATAAATATTATCTCTCCATTCTATCTTTGCTAAATTTTAAAGTATTACCCTAGTGTTAAAATAACATTATGATGGATGAAATAGAAAGAAAATTGGAACCATTACAAATGTAGAGACATCAAAATGTCTTGATTTTTGTAGGTATCTATTATCAGATTTTCTACAATTAAACTGAAAAAAACTATATAATACATTATTTAGCATAAATAAAGACCCACCTTTGTATTGAAAAATTACATATATTTTTATTGAAAATGATTTTCATCCATAATGTACTGCGACTGATGTTTAACTGAGCTTTTTTTTTACGCGACAAATTATAGCACGTGATCGCAAATTAAAATTTTTTTTATTGATATATACTATGGAAAGTCAGCGATTTCTGTGACCATGCTCTTTTATTGTGGCTTTCTGGGAGAGCACGGAAATCCCTCACTTAAAAAGTTCTTAGAATTCCATTCAATTTGTAATGAAGAAACAGAATACCTTCAAATGTGAACTAAATACTATTCTGAAAATTGGGCCTAACGTGGAAGGTAAATTATTCAGTCGATTGTCGGGACCAACTACCTTGCTGGTTGCGTACTGGTATAGGAAAAGGTTGTGTACTTGTTGATGAGCATACATAAACGGTGTGTTAACAAGGCTTCAATGACTACTTTGAGGGTTGCGTACTCGTAAGTTTGGGTATGAGGGTTTTTTTCATGCAAGACAGAACGAATGATTACTTCTTCTGTGTATAAAAAAAAAAAAAATGATTAATCTGATGAAGTATAAACTGGAAATCAGATTTATCTCGAACAGATTTGTATTTGATTTGACTCATTATTACCAATCTATTTGCTGGCATACTGAAGGTCTATCTTAAACCCAATATTTTCTGGATGCGATAAGAGAGAACTTTACTGCAAAGAACGATCACAAACCGGTTCGTTATTTAATGCTTCATGGATATAAGATCAGCGAAGCCAGATAACTTCAAAGATCATAAATAATTTACAATAGTTTTCGAGAAAAGGCTATATTTATCTAGCCTTGCAATTTCTTAAATATCGTTTTCAACAAGAATAAAAATCTGGAACGAATTTTTGATAGAGGGATTATTACATGTGTCGATTGAACAATTATGTCTTTAAGAATTACATGAACATTTTGTACTCACCTAGTATTGATTGTAAATTTTCTATCATAAGCTCAGACTATTCGTTTTTCTTTTAATAATTTAACGCACCTTTAACAAAATTTCTCGAATTCAAAAATTAAACTCACCGTGAACGATAGCACAAAAATAATACTGTGTCTACCGTCCATGATAATCTGTTTTTTTAAGAACAGGACATTATTCATGCGAATAAAAATTTAAAGAATTAATTCACCTTTTAATCTAAATATACAAAAAAAATATTCATTTAAAGGAATGGAAGGAATATACTAACAACCCAAAATTTATTAATAAAAAGAGAATTTGAAACTTATTAACATAATAAAAAGAAAAATCCAATTTCTTAAACTACCTTCAAGTTATAATAAATGAAAAATTCATTTTACCCGCTGATGAATGATGTCCGTCTAAATTTGACATTTATATTTTTAAGTCAGCGAATATAATTAATTAAAGTAATTGATTTAAAATTTTATTGATAATTTACCTTTGAATTAAAGAAACGATTCGCTACCTTCTTCGTTTCTTGTTTTTGGTATAATCTAAAAAGCTACTTATATTTCCAGGCTCGTTTTTAATAAAAATGGAAGTTTTGTTGTCATAAGGGATGTAAGGATTTTCTTTGATATAAGAACTAACATTACTTTGTTTATGAAGCCTCGTTAAATATTCGATAACATTACTCAGATCATTATCATTCATACTTTTACATCTTATCATTTCAAATTCAGGCAAATGAATGGCATTATAAGGCTGTATTCTTGATTTCGTGGAGGAATCATCCATCAAAATTGTATTGGTTTGATCCCATACTATTTGAGATGAAATGGTTGATGTTTTACTGTTTAAATCCTTCCATACTATTTCCAAATCTTTAATCGTTTCGACTTTTCTTTTATAATCTTCAGGGGACAAATTAAACTCATCCCTCGTCCATATAGCAGCCAATTTTTTTGCATAATTACCAAATGCAACATCAACCATTTTATTAACATTATAGGGTTGAGCTGATGACCATACCATTACAATAAAGCTATTCGATTCGAAGATATATCGCAAGAAATTTTCCATATGTGGACGCTTTTCAATACTCTTTTTGTAATCCCTGTACACTAATGTTCCATTCAAGTCTAATACCAGAAGTTTTTGTGACGGCTTTTCCAATTTAACAGAGGCTACGTTTGCCACCTCTAAATATGACGACGAAGCATAGGTTGTAATAATCTGTTGGACACTAATATCTGATTTCATTGAAATCCGTTGATCTCTGTTTAGATCTCTTGCATTATAATCATTATTTCTGCGATCTCTAAAGTTTGGTTCTCTTTCAATATAATCATCATTTCTGCGATCTTTAACTTTTGGTTCTTGTAAAACATAAACATCATTTCTGCGATCTCTAAAGTTAGGTTCTCGTACAATATAATCATTTCTACGATCTCTGAAGTTAGGTTCTCGTACAATATAATCATCATTTCTACGATCTCTGAAGTTAGGTTCTCGTAAAATATAATCATCATTCCTACGATCTCTGAAGTTTGGTTCTCGTATAATATAATCATCATTTCTGCGATCTCTAAAGTTTGATTCTCGTACAATATAATTATTATTTCTGCTATCAGTGCCATAATCGTTTCTAATAACATTTGGTCTTGAATCAAACCTTTCTGGTGGTAGAGATTGAAATAAGCTTGGAGGAGGTGGATGATGAAAATGTGATAGTGGCACTTGTCTGCTTAGCTTGAGTAATCTTTTTTTTTCCTTTCTTCTTTTTTTTAAACGTCTCCGCCTTTCCTTTATTTTATCATTCGATGTTTGATCCACTTCAGTATTACAATGTTCAGGACGTGAAATCCGATCTGCATTTGGACCTTCATTTTGACTTGCCCTCTTTTTAATTATTCGGAGTGAATTTTGCAATGATGTTATTTCATCTTTATGATCCAGATTATCCATAACTATAAAAATTTTTCATTAATGTAAATTATATGTAAATTACAATAATAAACGATCAAAAGTGTGGATGCATACCGAAAAATGAATGTTTTTCTATTGTGAACCCAGTAACCTGTATTCATAAAAAAAATATTAATTGTGAACATAATAAATAATTAATTCTGTCTGTTATATTTAATTTATAAAATCGTAGTTGTTCAAAATTATATTACCGACAGAGGAGAGAATCTGAACTTTGAGAAAAAGGAGAATCGTCTTCAAGAACAAATTATAAATAAAGTAATTGGTCACGGGATACACGATATGTCACGATAACATAAAACTTAGACTTTATTTGCTCAAATATTAAGTCGATGCCGATTGGTTCTTTCTATTACACGAATCACCACTGCTCAAAAATCGAGTCGATACGTTGATTGGAGAATTTCGAAAAGTTATTTAAGAAAATTAATACAAGATTGTAACATATTCGCTAATATGAAAACAAATAAAGCCTTTTTCAACAAAATTATTCATCTAGAATAAAATGAAATGATGATGATGGCTAAAATCTGATGCATTTCTTTACTAAATATTGCATCCCTGAGGTTTTTAACATAATGTTGTAATTCTTCGATTGAAAATTGGTTTTCTACCGATAAACCTAATTTATAATTGTTCTTTACTGGCTATTAAACAACTGTGTATTAAATATGTCAAACACGTGTCAAACATGGCGGAATATCGAAATAGAAATATAGCCATCCATTGGTTCGGTCGTATGTTTATAGTACTTTATTAAATTAATTAACAACTAAAGAATAATGACAAGCTTTTGTTATTAACATCCCGTAATTAAAGTAATCGTAGATTAAGGAGTACGCGGATCTGATTTTTTGTGATGAATCATAATAACGTAATTTTCTCAAAGATTTATTCCAAAAATTGAACCTTAGACCCACTACAAATCATACAAGACAGTTATGAACCCTTTTATCTGTCTTGCGCAAATACAAGCAAAAATCAAGTGAATTAATAAATCTAATCAAACTTATCAATATTTCTTGATCAAACGAACTCATATATTCCACGAAGTAATAATAAGGTAGGTTGTCATTACGATGCTAATCAATTTCCCGCCTCTATAGATATTCCAAAATAAACGGACATATTACTCTTCTTATTATAAATCGGCATTTTGATCTTCGCCGCGAAAATCATCACGCGTACAATAGACGCAGTGAAATTATTCACATGAATCTCGTCACATGCAATGGCACAGCAAAAGTCTGGCACATCGTTCCTGCGATAACGCAGAAAATATTTAAGCAATCAATTCCTTCTATATGAGCTGGAATGGATGCAATTGCTGCTTTTGAATTTTTTTGTACTTTAATAATTTGAGTCTAGTGGCGCCACCCTAATTCAATCGTGGATATAACATGTGATGAGTGATCATTTGTGGTACGTAACTCGCGTCTGCTGAACAGACGAAGTAAAAAATGCACCTTCTCTGAATGTCTTAGCGCTGTAAAATATGGACAGGATAGTTGAAAATGGGTTCTTCTACGGGAAAGGTTGTGGAGGACGCTCTTTACAATTTTGTGAGCAAATGTTCATATGAACAGTATGTAGGTAGTGTGTTATTTGTGTATAATGTTATAATGCCATAACTTATAATCTCAAATAGCTTCATAATTGATCCAAAGAAGGTATTTTCACAGAGGACGAATTTAATGAAATCAAGGCATATAACAGTTGTGATTTGCCAGAAATTCTGGAAGACCTTCTTGGTTATTTAATGACATTTGCAAGCTGAGTACATTATTTGCACAGAAGGAATAAGTCTGAATATTTTGACTTCTAATAACACATTATTCCTAAAATGATATAGGCTAATTTTTGAGAAGGGCACGTTATATAATCTAAGGTGTGTGATCAACCGGCTAATTCAAGGAGAATTTAATCCATTTAACACCACGATAACGATTGGCAATGTATACACAATAACGAGAAAAAAGTTTATTTTATTTACAGAAAACTGATATTATATACACTATACACGAAATCAAAATTAATTTAGGTTAAAAGTTAAAGTGAATTACAATCGACATCATATGAGCATTTTGCAATAAATAAAATGATCAATAAATCTATTTTTAAAAGTAAATTATTTTTATTATTATAGGTTATCGATCTGACCAGTGATGTTACGGGACATTCTTGGACAATATTTTGGACATAGTGTTGGACATTCTTAAAATGCTTTGGACATAAAAAATGTACAACACTACATATAATATGACCAAACCTTTAAACTGAAATCTTTATTTTTTTTTAAATAGAATTTATTGAATTATAATTTAGCTGAAAATTCAATTGCAATTATTTTTGGAATGGCTAATTTAATATTAATTATCTTTAGCTCATTAGAACTAATGTTTTATAGTATAAAAGAAGAAAATCAAAAAAAAAATTTTTTTGAATTAATGTTAAAATCTAAACTTATTTACTAAAAAAATTATATTTAATATATAAAATAAAAATTTAATTTCTTAGAATTTCTTTCTTTTATTAAAAACATCTAATTAACTCATGATAAGGTAATAAAAAGCATAAAAAAGTTTATTGGACAAATAATTGTTTATGATACAAATTATCTATCTAAAACATAATATAAAGCAATCTATAATAATGATAGTATAAACAATGAAGAATAAAGTAACAGTTTTAAATCTTTAGTTAATTAGAAAATTTTTGATTGTTAACCATTTTAAAATTGACAATTTTCTTATAAAATGCTTAAATTTCAGACATATAATTTTTTTACAACATCAATTTTGTCTAATTAAATAAATTCTTGTTATTTTATATGATGTGAAGGATAATTAGATTATTCACAGAATGTAGATATAATCACATATGCGTAAGCGTATGTGATTATTATATAACCTATGCATAAATCCAGTTATCTGTAACTTTATATAGAATAATAAGCTTATCTCATTGTGTATAACATATATACTAGTGAATTATTAATACATTATTTTTCTTTTTGCATGCTTTTAATGTTATCTTACAAATTAATTTTATCACATTACATTGAAGCAATGCAATTTACGTTACAATTAAAGATAGGCAACATAATTAAGAAGTTGCAACTTGGTTGCAACTTCTTGTAAATTTATTTTAATATAAAAATTCATAAAATGTTGCAATTCAAAGTGTTATAACTTAAGTTGCAACTAGTTAAAAATTTTAAAAATAATTATGGAAACCATCTTTAGTTACAATAAAGCTAAAAGCAGATGGAATAATGTGCAAAGATTCTAAATAAAATTAAGAATAAGAAGCTAATTATGTTTTCTATATTTACAATAAAGATAAAGGAATATATTAACTTCAAGAACTTTAGAAATGAATTTTAATATATATAGAAGGGTTTGGTATAAAATCCCGAAGCTCAAAATCCCGATGGCATATAATTCTGACAGTCTAAATCCTGAAACGTCAAAATCCCGAATTGTCACAATCCCGAATAGTCAAAATCCTAACTTATCATAATCTCAAAAAATCAAAATCCTAACATGTTATAATCCCGAAATGAAAAATCCTGACATTCTATTAATATTAGAATTTCATTAGTTAATAATAACTTTTTTTTTTACTATTTGATTTGTTTTAATTAATAGTATTTACTATGTATTTATTATGGTTTTTTATTATAAAAAAAATATTATATCAGAGAGGAACAACTTTATTAATTTTATATATTATTATTATTATTATTATTTAAATGTCAAAAAGCAAAAGATTTTAATAAGTATCCATCTTAGGCGGTGAGATTATTTTCAGTTTACTACATTATTGTAACCATTGAAATATATTGCATTACACGTTATATATATACTAATAATAGGTTCACAAAAAAATAAAATTATTATAAATTAGTTATAAAATTTTCATATAATTGAAAGAGATCCGTTTAAAATCCCGAAACTCAAAATCCCAAAAAGTACAAAATCCCGAAATATTGATTAATGTTATGCTCAAAGTTTCAGGATTTTGTACCTTTCAGAATATCATACTAGACTCTTTTTAATATTACGTTACTCTTGCAAAATAATAATCAAAAGTACAATATTTGGGATTTTGAAATTCGGGATTGTGATGTTCAGGATTGTGATATTCAGGATTATGATTTATCATTTTGGGATTTTATCTTTCGGGATTATAGAATTTAGGATTATGATGAATTTATCATTTCGGGATTTTATCTTTCGGATTAAGACATATCAGAATTTGATTTTTTGAGATTATGACAAGTCAGAATTTTGACTATTCAGGATTTTGATGTTGTCGAGATTATGGCATTCGGGATTGTAACAATTTGGGATTTTGACATTTCAGAATTTAGACTGTCAGGATTATGTGCCATCAGGATTTTGAGCTTTGGGATTTTGCACAGATCCCATATGGAAGCTTTGCAATAAAAAGGAAGGAAAATATAAAAAAATTAAAATTTTACTTTCTAAGCTAATTATGATTTTTTTAGTAAAATAAGTCTAAATTTAATATTAATTCAAAAAAAAATTTTTTAGAATTTTCTTCCTTTCTACTGCAAAGCTCCCATATAATTAACTAACATAAACAGTTTTTTTAATACATATATTTGGATTATTTATATATTTTAATTATATTTTTTTTAATTAATAAAAAGCTATAAGATTTAATAATTAAATACAATTATCTTATGAAAAAGAAAAATTTGAATGAATAATTAGAATTTTAAAAATACATCTTCATAGTATAGCTAAATATGAATGGTATGCTATTAAAATTAAGGTATAAGACATAGTAAATCATATGATCTGTACCTCAATTTTAATAGCACACCACCTAGTGATACCTAACTAAACTCTTTTTTGAAAAATTATAATTTCGTCAAAAGTTTCATCTCTTTAATATTTTTATATGAATAAATATAAAATTATTATATTTTTTAATGTATTTTAATTCAAGGAATTTAGATCAAGTTAAATATAATTTTGGCAATTAAGTAAAATAATTTTGTTATTAATAAAAAACTAGTTTCGTCATTTTGGTTTTGTCAATTTCGTCATATTAAGAAAGGCAATTTCATCAGGTATCACTAACACCACCTATATGTACATTTTATCTTTATATTAATAAACTTAATAAACTGATATTTAAAAAAAGCAATTTTTCTAAAATAAATATTTTTATTTATTATTATATCAATAATACTTAATATAAACCAATAGTGTAAATGATAAAAAATTTTACCAGTATTTACATAATACTGATAGAATAAATACATTTACATAAAAATTTATAGTTTTATATAATATTATAATATTATAATTTTTATAAGTATAAAAAAAAATCTAAATTTATAAAATTTACTTTTATAATACTTTAATTAAATCTGTTATATAATTAATAATAAATAAATTAATAATTTGATATTTAATTATGTAATAACTTTAAATTTATAAAATGATTATTAATTGAATAAAGATCATATTATATATTTATAATTAGCAAAAATAAATTCAGATTTTTTACTTTTTAGATAACTTTCATTATAAAAATAAAAATAATCATAGAAGTAGACTATTACATAAAAATTTTTATAAAAATAATAAAATAAATAGATAAGATAATTAAAATATAAAGTTATAGGTAAAATATAGTGGTTTATATATAAATATATTATTATTTATAAAATATATTTTTACCTATTTGATTATAATATATCTATTTTTATATATTAGCAGCTATTAATATAACTTCAATTAAATTACATAACATAGCTTTATATAATTTAAAATAATATAATCAGTTGCTAAAATCTTGATAATCTTTTATATAATAATAAAAAAATTACAATGATATATTTTATGACATCTGTTATATTGTTTTAATAAAAATAATTATGTTAATCACATAATTTTTAACAGATAATTTTAGTAATTCTAAAGATTATTATAATCAGTGATGGCTATTGAACTAATTGGACTTATAAAAACTCCATTATTTAGACTATTGAACTTAATAATTTTATAAGTCTAATAGAATTCAATTTTATTGGACTTATAAACAATAGCCAATACTGATTATAATAGAAAGTTTAAAGAAAACTTGCTAAGCCAAGCATTATTTATAAAGTAGAAAGATTTAAAATAAAGGTTTAAAGATTTATAGCAGACATAAACATAAAGTTTTATAGTAAAAACTTTGGATTTTATTTGAGAAGGAATATCATATTTTTTTATCATAACTACTACATTATTTTTGTTAAAAAATCAACAATTTTATTATTTTTTAATAATAAAATACTGTTTTAAATATTAGAGACAACTTTTAGAAAAATAATGATTTATTGTAATATATAAAATCTATATACATATTAAATTTTTGTATATATAAATTACATAACATAAAATATACATAAATTATTACTAAAAATAGATAAATTATATTCAAAAAGGTAACTTTACATAATAAATTGTTATAATTTTCTTAATTAGTAATAACTTATCAACTTGTACACATAATTTGTAACTTAAATTTTATATACTGATTTATTATTATTTTTAATAATAAAACTCAGAAGTTAATTAGAAATTTTTTTTTTATCTGTTGATTTAGATTTAAATTTGGATTTATTAGATATGAATTTGAATTAAATTTATATTTGTTAAATATAAATTCAGATTCAAATTTGTTAGATTCAGATTAGATTCAGATTTGTCAAATTTGAATTGAATCAAATTCAGATTTTTCAGGTTTAGA